ACACATAACAAGAGAATTAGCATGCTATGTTTAAGGAACATAAAAGAAACACCAGAGCAGCTGGAGTACAATGAGTAAGTGTGAGAGATTTAAGAGTTAAGTTATACACAACTGAAGGGTCAAACTCCTAAAGTTTCTTAGGCTGAGATAAGAAGTTTTGCTTTATTTTAATTGCAGTAAGAATTCATTTTAATATTTTAAGCAAGAGAGTTGACTTATCCACAATTGTTTCTTCCTTGGTTTAGAAGAACATCAGGATTCTGGGCAGAGATTAGTAAGCAGCAAAACATCATTAAAAGGCAAATGTTATGCTGCAGACCTGTTTTCAACAATTTTAAAGTTTGAAAATTCTTGAAATATATGTATATATGTACTTATATACATATGTATATATTTTTTCTTTTTCCTTCTCAAAGTTGTTATACTGATAAGAAAGAAAAAATAATTGGTTTTACGGAAAAAAGGTCATGATATAATTTTACTGAATTGTTTTTTCAGAGCTTCATGATATTTACTAGTGGGTTTTTACAAATCCTCCCTGGATGTTAAAACTTGCCCTCAATTGATTTCAGTCTGATTATAATAATGGTTATTTGGTACTATAGATTCTGTTGGAAATTACATAAATCACTGTAGTTAAGCATAATGGGGTTTAAAGTGGGAAATTAGGTACTTATACAAACCTTCATGTAGTAGGGACCATTCTATATACTGAGATATAGAAATTTAGGCATATCTAAAAGGGAGAACCCAAAAGCATAAATTGAAGTTTAAATTTTTTTTGGTTGAGAATAGTACATGTGAGCACAGATTGAGTCACATGCTTCTAAACAACTTACTGTGTACAAGAGGAAATTACAGAGGGTTTTAGAGATATTTTTCCCTTTCATAATCTATTTTCTGAAAGAGTTTGTGTTGAATTAGATTATTTCTTGAATGTCTGCAGATTTCATCAGGTTAGCCATTTAGGTCACAAGATTTCTCTGTGGGAAGATTTTAAAGTAGAAATTAAATTTCTTTACTATATATATACACCTATTCACGTTATCCATTTCTTCTTGAATTAGCTTTGGTAATTAATATCCTTAGAATCTTGTGCATTCAATCTAAGTTATCAAATTTATTGGAATGAAATTGCTCAGAATGTTCCCTTGACATTCTTTTAATTTCTGTAATGTCTATAATGATTACCCCTCTTTAATTCCTGATATTATTAATTTGTGTAATCTCTCTTTTTTTCCTTGACCAGTCTGGCTAAAGTTTTATGAATTTTATTGTTCTTTACAAGGAATTAGCTTTTGGTTTCATTTATTTTTCTCTATTTAAAAAATAATATATTTCTTCCCTTATCTCTATTATTTAATTTCTTCTTTCTTTGGGTTTAATTTCATTTTTTTTCTAAATTGGAAGATTAAATTATTAATTTAAATTCTTTCTTATAAACTCTTTAAAAAATCAGTTGATGCTACAAATTTCCCTTAAGCCCTGCTTTCTGTACATCTTGCATATTTTTATATGTTGTATTCTCATTTTCATGCAGTTAAAAATATTTTCTGATCTCTACTTTGACTTTCTTACTCATGGGTTAGAGTGTTTTTTTTTTTTTCCTGAATATTTATGTATTTGCTGATTCACTTCTAGTTTAATTCCATTGTGGTCCAAGAACATACTTGTTATGAAGTCAGTTTTAAAAATGTGTTGAAATTTGTCTTATATCCCAGAATAAAGTCTACCAGATTAACACTTGCCATGTTGAATGCCATAATAAGTTTTGAATTTTAAATGTAAGAGTAGCAGTATACTTTTGAAAAGTGATGAAAAATTCTAGAGGTATATCTATAAGACAGAACAATATGCTGAGAAGTTGTAAATTTTATCAAGTCAGCTAGATCTGTCCTTTACACATGGTGTAAAACTGCAGTCTCATGGGTATCTCCTGAATTTCTTTTGATGAATTGTAAACTAAATCAAATATAATCTGTTAAAAATAACCCACATTCCAATCTTGCCTCTTACTGTTTCTGCTCAGGAATGGGGTTTGATTCTTTGATGCCTTTGCACATTCTCTTTACCACTTGCTGATGAATGTTTCAACCAAGACTCTGCCATAATGCTTCCTGCTTCTTAAACTATTTCTAATGCCCATATGGTGTTCACTCCTCTTTGCTCTATGAGCAAACTCTAAGCACAGGTCTTTTATAAACATCTCATTATTATTTTAATTAATTGTGCCTGTATTCACAATTTTCTGCCTTCCCTGTATATTTAATTTTTGTATTTCATCTCTTAGCACAATGATTTGCTCTGGTAGATTTCCAATAATGGCTGGTATGAAGTAAATAAGTAAATGAATACAGTATTATTTTTTATTGTAGAAAGCAGAACTTGAAAATTTAAAATAGGAGCCAATATAAGGTTTTACCTAATGTGATTATGCTAGTAACAATAATTTTAACAATTGACTTTGTGGTAGAAAGGAATTGATTTTATATACATATATATATAAAATAGGAGAAAAGTTAGAGACTGTATATAACATTTAGAAATATATTTTTCCACATTTTTCTATGTGCACATTTTTGTTTAAATATAAGGACATATATATGCTGTTTTTTAACTTTCTTTTAAAACTTTTCTAGAACCTATATTACACATGAATATATATGTTATACATACACACATATTTTATTTATCTATATATGTATATGATATTTTAAATGCCTGTGTAGTATTGAGTTATATGCTGCTACTAAAATTTATTTAAATAAACCCGACTTTTAGATGTTTATCACATTTGTTTATTAACAAGGACAAAGGAATATATAATGACTTTTGTTATTACATGCATAACGCTTTCAGGAAGATACACAAAGAAAAATAGCTATTTGCTATGGGGAAGTTTGTGGATTGGGAACACAGATGACGGACAAGAGATGGGAACGAATTTTCTTTCTGTATACATTTTTTCACTCTCTTGGCACCCTGGCCTCTTTTCTGTTCCTCAGCACACCAGATCTTTCTTTTTGATGGCCTCTTTCCGAAATGGCTTCTTTTAGACACTCAGATCTCAGTGTAATGAAACCTCCTCAGAAAAGCCCTCCCTGACCTCACCTAGAACAGCCACCTCCTTCCCAGGCTCTCTCCAACTCACACTCATACTTTCGCCCTAAGGCTCATTACTATCTGATGTTTTCTTTCCTGCTCATTTATTGTTGGTCTTCCCACATTTGAATATAAAATTCTAAAGGAAAGGGATGTTTGTCTTGTCTGTACTGCCTTGCTGACACTTACAATACTGCCAGGCTTAGGGTAGACAATAAGTGTTTGTTGAATTGGATGCGGAATCTAAGGAAGTGTCAAAAAAATTCAGTAACAGAGATAAATAGTACCTTAATTGGTATTTTAAAAAATAAAAAAAATACCCATTTCTAGGTGGGGAAACAGTCTTACAATGGCTCTGTTATTTTCCAAAGCCACATAACATTTATAGATTAGAGCCAGCATTAAATTCTTAGCTTTTCACTATTTGCCTAATAATCTTTTCACTGTAATAATTATTTTTGTGTATATGCTTTTTTTGGTCAATAAATTAGCTATATATTGTCTCAGGTCAACCTGAGGAGAGCACTCTTGAAAATTTTTGTTCACTTGTTTTTAAATTCCAAATCTGTCTGAAATGATAAAGCTTTCCTAGCTGGGTTAAAAAAAACCCTCAATTTTAACTACCAGCTTAGATTTTCAGATTAATTTTACTTCTGTATTGGAATGAATGTAAGGAAGGGAGGAAAGGCATAGATTATGTTTATAATTATGGAAAAACATCACATTTTAAAAGTCCTTGGTGGCAGAATTCTAAACTCCTCCAAGATGGGGCTGTTACTCCATGTCAGTGCATAAATAACCTAGTGTATTTTCCTTTCCTTTCTCTCTTTCCTCTACATAGGTCACTTTAGCATTGGCTTCTTTTTGTAGCTTCTGGATTTGTGGAATGTGTATTTCTGTGGATCAGTATGTAACTGTCTTTCCATTTACGTCTCCATGAGTCTGTCCTTTCCCTGTTTTCTTGTTCCGTATTTTGGTAATTCTGACCTTCTCTATATCTTTTTTTATTTTCTCTTTTTTCTTCTCTTTTTCTACTTCTCACACTGTCTTTGAGATGAAAGTAGATTGGAACAAGTACATATTTGATTACGAATTGTATTTTGCTTACAAAAATGTGCTTAGTGTTTCAATTGTGACGTGACTCATA